CAAAAACCCGCCCCCCCCCCCCCCCCCCCCGCCTCAGGGATGGTCTGGGCGATAATGACAATTTTTTCGATAACTCAGCCATTTCTTGACGGATCCTTCTCATCTTCGAACTCAACTGAAATATTGATGAGATCATTCTGTGTACAAAATGTCAAGACAATTGGATGAGGCTTTCAAGAGTTATTGTGTTCACGACCGGACACACTGACCGAATCTAGAGTGTACTCGCTTTTTGAGTACACAAAAACAACATCCATTTACACTTACGTGCAAAAATCAGTTTTTGATCCTTCACCTGCATCTATAGCTTCGATTTCTAGCTGATATGTTGTTTTGATTTCATAATCTAATAAACATATAACACGTACATCACCAGTTATTGGATCGATTTCAAAGCAATTTTCTTGATTTATTAAATGATATGTTAGTTCAGCATTGACACCTTCATCATCATCCGTAGCATGTACTCGAATAATAATCGATCCAATAGGAATATTCTCGCTCACATTATTTATTGTATATGTTGATCGATTGAATTTCGGTGCTGAATCATTAATATCATCGACATTGATATAAATATGTAATAGCCCTGTATGATTGTCACCATCGTAGGCAATAATATCAAAATTATAGGACGATATGAATTCTCGATCGAGATGTTTTTCAACAACAAGGCTCAAATCATTCCGAATTAGATCATAATGTAGAGAAAATGGAAGAGGACTCGATGATACCAATGAGTAACCTATAAGTATAAAATTTTATATAATATTACTTTTTTTTCTTTGTAATCGCTCTAGTCAAGCATAACTCTGTGACATTATGAATAATAGATTAGTCTAGCCGAGTAACCTTGTGTGATAAATAGACACTTCCTACAATTATAATGAGAACTCGATTAGCATACCAATAATTCCGTTTTGTCCTTGATCATAGTCAATAGCTGGTTCAAGTTTAATCGAAGCTCCAATGGGTGCACTTTCAACGATCGTTAAATTCAATTGATTATTCAAACTTGAAAATTGTGGACTATGATCATTTTTATCTAGTATACGTATAGTTATGTATTCAAGATTATATTTATCAATATTAATAAATATTTCCAGTTCTAAATCACACCAGGTATCACAACGACAACGACGTAAACGACATAATTCATCGCGATCTATTTCTTTGCGTATTGTTAATATTCCTTGTGATGAATGATTAATAATGAAAAACATATAAGGAAATTCGTCGCGTTTAGCCAAACTAAAATCAGCAGTAATACTATCAGTGGTATTGTTTGATAATAGAAGTCGTCGAAGATTAATAACTTCTGTATGAACAGGTAATTTTTCGATGGTACGAATTATAAAATGATTTTCTTGTTGTTGTTTTTGTTGACAATAACAACAACATGAAAACATTATCAATAAAACAAATGAATATAGATTATAGACGAATGCAGGCATGGCATGATGATGGAAATAAAACAAGCTACAATCATGCCATTATCTCAATATTCTAGAAAAGAAATAAGAGTGAAAATAACATAAAGTTCACTATTCGAATAGTAATGTCAATTAGACTGTCTATCCGGAAATAGTCAAACAGGCGCATTTGTCTATCTTACTCACTAATGATCATGTTACATACTATTGTTTCGAATGTAAACCTATATGATCACTTAAGGAAATATCTTGTTTAACAGTATGAGAAACAAAACTATTGAAGTCAATAAATATGTCATGACCATTAAAACGATTGATAGAATGCCCGTTGGCAGAATACGTCTGTTACTCGTCTCCTTAGCCTTTTTCTTGTCACGGTCGTCGAAACATTGAAAAATAATATTATTATTCTTTCCGTCGATATGTTTTGATTACTTATGTCATCATCAATTTATTATTATTTTCTAACCGGAAACATAGTCCTTATTCATTATTGTAAAAAATAAATCTTTACCTAAACCAAAATAGTATATCAAACGATCAATAAACAGTAATGCTAGTTGTTGTTATTGTATATAGACGCATTTATTTGTTTCAATATGACCTATAAATACTCACACACTTTTAATCAATTTTTTTTCTCTTTCTCGTTTTCTCTCTCTCTCTCTCATCATAAAACAAGAAGCCGCCAATACAAGCATCGTATCTCTTTTCGTGTAATTGCACTCGACACCATCGCCTAGTTCATCGTCACTCAAGCAAATTGGCTTGAGGCCTGCTTACTCCCTAACAAAGTACATTTTTGTATTCATACTATATATATATATACATTTTTTTAACTGTCTCATTCTTCTTCTCTATTTAACGCAATATGCAAAGTGTTTTATATTTATTCATTGAAAAGAATATATATATATATATATATATGTTAGCATGATAATGATCGGAGTAGTGTACGATAGTACTTACTATTCATTTGTTGAAAATTTATTAACTTTCTCTACTCTATCATACGAACGATGATCAATGCCATCACCTGTTCTCTCTACTTGATAGACAGGCGAAAAGAAGAAGCAGTATATATATAAATAAATAAACAAATACTTTAGTAGTTAGCATTGACAGATGTTCGTTTATATGTCGCACAAATGTGATCAATCAAATGGCAAACAAAGACAAGAGAGAATTCGATGATGTTTGCGTTTCATTATTTTCTGTCCTCATGTCTATTTGATTTCATTTGTTATCTTTCTTTTCTTTTTTATTTGTAAACAGAAGAAAAACTGTCTTCTTTTTTAAACTACTGTCATTTCTTCGTTGATAACTTATGCGTCTATAGTAGTAAAATGAAATCAGGATGATGTCATTCGTTTTACTTGTTGCAACATTTAACTTACCTCTACTCACTGGGCCATTTATTCTCTTTGTTCATTATGTACAGTTGCCTCAAGCTCAAAGCGAATAGAAGAAGGAAGAACAAAAAAGCGGTCAATCAACACATGCTGTCGTCCCTTTCTAGTGTTACTAGCGAACGACTTCATAAAAAATTAATTATTAATCTGTAATATATCTTCGCAATTAAATATTAAACACAATGATACCTATTGCTTTAGGGATTGTAAATCATCGTCTCGAGTGAATAACAATCAATAAGTAGCTAACTCAAGCGGTTTTTTCTTCTTCTTCGTTTTATTGACTACCGGAAGGAACATAAAGGTGTATGAGAGAGAGAAACAATATATCTCATATCCTCTACATAGCTACAGTATTAATACTTTACACGCGATAGGATGATGACGATTCAATTAGAAATCTGTTCTCTCTCCCTCGTTTCTCTTTGATGTATATACGAATGAAATACGGTTATGTTTAAACTAGGAACAAGAATAAACTCAATGTCGATGACAATTTTATTCTCGAAGATGATACAAACATTGTTCTTCATCGTCTACTTATTAACAAGATTCATTCTTCTTACTTCTTATATTCATCTACAGATGTTCGAGTTAAGACGACTAATCGAATCAGTAAAGAGAAAGAGAGAGAGCGAAGCATAGACGCGTGTGCTTTCATCGGTTTGTGATAATGGTGTGTCAATGAAATATTGATTTGATAATATAACAAAAGAATTTAATATCGTTTTCAATATGAAAGCATGTTTTTTTTTGTTGAAAATATTCATATTTATTCAATTTCTGCTTTGAATTCAATTCTATTTTGTCGATATTCAATCACTTATTTGCTCAACATTGTTATGATGATGCAATATCTCATCTTAACAAGAAGATTATCTCGATATATTATATATATATGTATACGAAATAGTCAAAATATAAGCTTGTTTTTTTCTTCTTCTTTCAATAACTTTTTAAGTTTAGTCACGATTACTATGTCTGTTTCGGTATCATCGATTTAACATGACCCAATGACGAAGAAGAAAAAAAGGAATCAACGACTTGCGTCGACTAATTTTTTTTGTCTCCCGAAATAGACACGAAAATCAGATTAATTTTTTTGCTGACTGGCTGCGGCCGCCAGGCGACACAGTTGACAAAGTTCAATTAATAGAAAATGATTTCCATTCAATTATGATCTCTGCTCTCATGCTGAATTGACTCAATCAATATTCTTTTCTGTTGTATCGATAAGAAATATTTCACTACTAATTTATTCACTAGCTAACTATAAGAAACACTGCTGTTACCTTAATATTGACAAAGCAACATGTATTCATTGTAGACTGATGATGTTGTTTTTTAAAGATAGGATATCACAATTGTTATAGATGTCAATCTTTTTTTCTTTTGTCAGTTGTGTGTATGTTCAATTAGAAAATAAGTGCGAACATGCGCCAGCGTCGTACAATATATTTTCTTTTCTCTATCTCTTAAGTGCTATCGATTTTGAAGATGATGTAATCTTTTTTTAACATTCTTTCCAGACATGTTCATGGCTTGAATTCTTTTTCTTTTTCTACTTGTTCATTCATTATTTTTTTCCCCTCAAGAGACTCATCGCACTCCGCCTATGTAACTTTACATAAGTTTTTCATTCTCTGACGGATCTGAGCTCAATGTTCGAGAGAAACAATCATCGTCATCACGATTGTATCCCAAGGGACATGCAAAACGGTAATAACGACGCCGCCCTATTCTCCTCATTAGTGTGATCAGTCAGCTACAGTATCAGAACACAACATCTAATGACAAAAATGTTCATAGAACAATAAAAATTGATGTCGATTACATGAATTATTTAATTAACCAAAGCTGAATTTATTTTAAGTCAACTAGTCAATAAAATGATCGACGAATGAAGTAGTTTTCCTCGTTCAGCATAATTAATAAAAGTCGAAAATATTAATGAAGTCTCTTGATTATTGCATGTAGATTTAGATTAACACGAAAGTGACATTTCTACTTACTTTGAATATTTTATAAGAATTTTTATACTCGTCATAAAATATCGATATATTTTTTTAATTAATATTATGTCCTTCGAAGAAAAGACAATATAGGAGCTTTGTTATTTTCATAGGCTTACATTATCGATATTGATTACGATATAAGGGCAAATAAAATAAACCGATCTTATCGATAAGAGAATGACATGTAATTGAAACAATTTTATTTTACAATTGATAATAACAACAATGACTCTTATAATCTTTTGTGAATTTTTTTTCAAATAGCAAACACAATTATTAAAATCACTTGCTGATTATCGTTGAATGGTCGTGTGAAAGTGTATGAGTTAAAATACTCATTGTCGAGATGGAACAGAAGATCAAGATGAAATTGTATACTGACAGTTGACCATGAATACGTATTAATATTATTCTTTAAATTATGTCACCCATAAAAGTCGGATTAAATATGTCGAAACTATATTTTACTTTAGAAAATCACGCAGAATGAGATTTCTTGTCTTGTGATTTTTCTTCATGCAATGACCTTGGAGCGACTTATTAGGTAAAAACAATTTAACACAAAATGATCATTGAATACGTGACTTTTTATGAATGACTAACGGGGTTTACTTCCTATTTATTATCTACTTACAAATTGATTCATGAGCCTAAAGAAACATACAACTAATAGGCACCATACCTGTCTCTATCTGTTTAGTTGCCCTTAAAAATTATCAAGACTTTTAATTTTATTTCTATATTTCAATTAGTTAAATAATAGGTCAATTTTAGAAAAATTTCGTGAGATTCAAACATGGCAATGGCTGATTTCAATCTGTGGCGATGATTATCACTGATTCTAACAGAAAAAAATCGGAATATTGCTGGCCAAGAAAAGGACACAAAAAGCATTCAGATCTTTTATATTGATGATGCATTAATAATAAATTATAATCATCGAGTATATTCCACTGCTAATCTGTCCGCTACACGACACTTCACATTCTACTAATGAATTCTGCGCAAACATGCAATATCAAGTCTTTAAACTTGATGTCATCGTGCATAGTTTATTATTTTATTAGAGAGGAAACAAAAATGTGATTATAAATTTACGTTTAATATTAATAAAATATATACGAGTAGACAGTATTCAATCAGAGTTTAAATTATATTGTAGTATATTTTGTTGCGCTTCAAAAATAAATGATTCAACGATTATTTATTTCGATGTTTTGGGAAATTTTAAATTCGTTTTAACATGATCATTTTTGTTGTCATAGTATTTCATAAAACCATCATTCAAAGCATTTGTTGATAAATGTTTATGAAAGTCCCGTCGAAGACGCCATCGACCAAGAATTGAATGATATTCATGCACCTACAGAAAATGTATGAAATGCTATATGGATACTCAAAAGATATTTTATCATACTTTTTGTAAATAGTGTTTCAAATCATCTCTTGTAAGCAGAGGCTTTGAACTTATCGGCGGTGCTAGAGTAGAATAAACTTGCAAAATGATTTTGTTTTATATATTTAAAAATCTAACTTACGTGGTACTCGACTAAATGCTGCCTGACCAACATGAATGAAAAGAATCATAAATAACAGAAATGCAATTTTAACGTTGGAAACCATAGTTTGGTAATTGTCTGAAACAAGAGTAACAAACCTTTGAATTGAGATGCTTTTTTTCAATGGAATCAAAAGAATATGTAAAAGAGGAAAGTAAAACGAGATATTTACACAACCGGGGAGAATGCTCTGGTTGATTACGACCAAACAAGAACTCTTGAAAAGGTTAAGTTTATTCTAATTGCAGATATCTTTGTGATGTTTTTTTTAAATTTTCTTATTACTATATGCCTATTAGGGTGCGAGACAAATTATCAGATGCGTGCTCATTCGTAGCAAAACAAAAAACTAAATAACAGGAAATCTAAAGCTAGGGCACCTCTTCTGACAAGGACTTGTCTTTCCGATGATTAATCGACATCTCTATTTTTTTGCTTATTAAAATAAAGACGTCATTTCTTTTTAATAAGAAAAAACACGAAGAGCGAAAACATGATTTTAAATCTAAAAATGATAATATGACAAAGCCTGGCATTCACTTTGTTCCTTGCCTGGTACAGTGCATAAGTATTTTACACTTTGCATTTATATTCCGTCTTCATACCAAAACACTAGTTGCTAGATAGCGGAAATAACTAGAAAATCATCTATTTCTTCAGCTTATTATGATCCGAAGTACCTGCAGATGAAAACTATGTGTTTAAAATGATTAGAAAAAGAAGGTTACCACGACCTTCTTTGCCAATGAAAAAATACTGTCGAACTAAGTCTTCTAGTACAACAAACTCGTTTGGTTTCATTACATTTGATGGTGCATTCATTTTCTAATAATACTTCTTCGCAGATATTCACTCTCTTTGTTTTCTGATGTAGTTCCAGTTAGTGACTTGCTTATGATCATTGCATGACAAGTAATACCGAACTTTTATACAGAGTACCTTTTGGATACGTGACAGGTTAAAAAATGACTACATTATTGTGATATTTTCTTAATTTAATCTTCTTGCTAAATTTTGAATATAGTAATTATATACGCCGGTCTATGTCTAACTATCAATAACTATTAATTGGATAACACGCTGTAATAACTAATAGTTAATATTTCATTTTTCAGACGTTTAGTTAGATTCCAACCAGTGCTTCTCTCGAAATAAAAAACTTGTTATTAGGAACTTGAAAATCTATACTTTAATCGTAAAACAAAGAATGTATTTCTTTCAAAAGATGATTTTTATGAATGGTGTGCTTCGTTGAATTTGTATTACAAAGAATTACAATCATAGAACATGAGTATTAAAAATTATTGTCACTTCAACATAAATAGTTGGATTTCACTATGAAGTATTGTTAAATTTTACGAAAAAAACCCAGAGCATACTATACAAGAATAATCATCTATAGATTCAAGAATTTAGGCGGCAATAGAAACATAATCTACGGTAAACAAGACTTTTGTGCTTCAAAGTTTACTTCTACTGGATAACGCATTTTTCATTTCGTGATGCGTATCGTGTCATATGCTATTTCTGGTATGCTTAAAATTAATCACAATATTTACAAAAGTAAAGTTAACTGATGATGATTATGTCCTTTTGCACTGACCTCAATTCTTAATAGAGGTAAATCAATTATGTGAACTTTTTGCATTAAAATTCGATGACTGTGTTCGATAGAGAGACGTTTAACACAACAACACAAAAGCTTTACTTTTTTACTTAAAAAGCAATAAATACCTAGGAGTGCATTGTTTAAAAAACCGCTGTCTCATTGCTTAGATCACTGCAGATTTGAAGATGCGCTCTGAGACCATTCATTGTCGAGGGTCGATTCTTTGACTATATGATTCAGTCTGTCACACCAAATTGTCTGAAATGCAGATGGGCTAATTTTAATCGAATATGGTACTAACTTTACCTTCATATTATTATCTCAATTGAAAAGGAATTTCAATCGTTTTTGGTGATAATTGTAACGATTAATATGACTCTACTGGGTTTATATCGTAATGACAAACTGGATAGAGGTGAAGTAGCTTACCATCACTTTCGATAATGATGTTTATTCGCTTCTTCACATAGCCAGAGTGTAGCAACTTCATACGTAACGCACGTATATATAGGAAGGCGACAGGAACGAGAATAGAAGGAGGAGGAAGGAGAATCACCGAAGCGTGCCATCAATATCGGCACACCCTTCCACTCAGATCAGACGCGCTCCTGAGCGTCTTTACAATATGAAAAAAGGGGAATCGAAAAGATACACCCGAAGAAAAGGAAAAGTAAAAGGAGAAGAAAAGACACAAACACATAATAATAATAAAAAACATAATAGTAGTTCATCATTTGAACTTTATTTCATAGTTACGTGCAATACGCACGGGATCAACACATAAAATAGATAACAATCAATTCGGGTGCAATTTTCACAGACAAACGGCATTATCATAATATACGATTTGAACAATTTACAACAAACAAACTTTTTAGAACGCTTTTTCTTCATTTTTTAAGCAATTACAATATGCATTACATTAATAGCGTACAAAAATCATGGTACAACAGAAACAAGCTGCATAAAAATATCATTTTAACTCTTTTAATTAGTATACATCAATATTTTTCACAACACAGGAAACAAATTTAACAAGTGAAGCTTCATAGAATTCTTAATACAGACATTATCAATCACGCATTTTTGCATGTATTGATCTCATTAGAATATCATTTATATAGAACATACGAAAAATGATAACATAACTCTTAGAAACAATTAAGCAATCAATCAGTTACTTAACAAATTCGAATATATTATTCGACAGAAATTAGAAGAGAACAATTTACTAATTCATAGCGTACAGAAAATCTAATCTAGTGCATAAAAGATACCGAGAACGTTTTCTTGTTCTAACTATATAGGTAGATTAGTTTTACATGTCACGAATAGCAAAAGAAAAAGAAATTAGTGTCTCAGCACTAAACAAGGAACACTAGACGATAATCCATTTGGGCAAAACTTAGTCACACATTAGTTCTTTATAAAACAAACAATTTACATTTGATTTTTGATTTTATCAAAAGTAGCACGTCTAATTTAACACGACTACAAGAAAAATAAATATTCCTTCTTGGCAATCGACCGAAAAAGATTTTTACATTTTTCATAACAGTGTTAATGTATCTGGCATTGACGAATATTTGAACATTGAAAACAGCCAGCTGGGTGTTGTACAGATGGTATATTGATGATCTAAGAATTGAAATTGCTTATGAACGATACGTAATTGTATTCAATGTGATCAACATCAATTTGTTACAATCGGAACGGAAAAAATATGATTGAAATTAAGAATGATGAAGAGGTTTGAGAAGAAGAAACATGAAGCGTACAGATGTTACAAAGGAAAGTGCGTCAATGCCTTGCATTGCCGGCCGAGAATATAACCGCCCTCTAGTACGTTTACTGATGTTCTGTAACCCTGCCGTCTGCTTCGTACCGCAACAAGATCAGTGCTACAGTCTGTCGACAGCGCCATATCTTTCAACCGGTATTCTCTCACTCATTCATTCTTTTTCTCATTATTTATTACCGTCCGTTGCTGTTGAATTGTATTGTCCAATAATTGTTCATGATGTTGAGTTGTTGTTGATTTGGGCATAAATCAATTGCGTTCAGAATTTTCAAAGGTTCAATAGTCAAGGTCCAGATGTAATGATCGAGGTCTGCCAGAGTTGCCACGTAACGATAAATATGACCCTTGCTAGTTGATGTATTACGACAAGCTGGATATAGGTAGAGTAGCTTACAGCCATTCTCGGTAATGATGTGTATTCGCTTCGTAAGATATCCAGAGTGTAACAATTTCATACATAACACACGTAATATATAGGGGAGAAATAGGAGAGAGAGAGAGAGATATTGGAACAATGGCAGAAGAACAGAAGGAGGAAGAAGGAGAATCATCGAAGCGTACCATCAATATCGGCACAATAATGATATTACAACTATCATAGAGAATCATATGTTGACTGATGCCAGCTTCAATTTATTCATCGCTCCATATGTATTCAAAAATCTTGCCATCAATCATTAATTTCCTGAAACATTTTCTAAATATCAACTTCGACGATATAAACAACGTTATTCAAAATGATGACGTTCTGAAAAAACAGAAGCAAATCGTTGTTTGTTGTGAACGATCAATACTCTATACACACATCTTTCCCAGAGTTCTATGACCATAGTCAAAAATTAAATCGTCTATCGCTAGTTATTTTCGAGAACTTTCGATTATAGTATGAAGGATAGCAGAACTTTTTGAAAATTATTTTGTGAATAACTTGTAAGGAGATCGCCTATATACATCCAATTTTTTGTGATTAGTTAAAAGTTCAACTTTGCATCTCTAGTTTTAATGGAGAATTTCTCAAAATATTGTGCAACGCAAAAGACGACATCTCACTAAATTAATGATTCCTATGTTATGGTCTACTGTTAATATTTTGCACTAATCTTATATCAGACTTGTAATCATAGAGGGAAAAGCGCGATTTTCGTACTTCACGTCCTTCCCTTGTACTTCAAAAAAAATTGGAGTACGGAAGTAGCGCTTTTTCCTGCTCGGTTTGATTCCACTTAGGTAGAGTCTGCTGTTTCTCCCTTGACAATTACACTTTTCACAGAAACAAACAAACAAATGCTGTTTCATTTTAAATGCTTCAATGTAATCTATTCGGGCAATGTAAGAAAAGCTGCAATTTATGAAATCGATATAATTTTCAAGAATCATTGCTATTATAACGAATGGAATTCTAGAATAATGAGGATACGAAACTCAATCTATTTCTTTTCCCATTTTTTCTGTATACTTTCTAGTAGTTTTGTATGAATTCGCTCCTGTTTCAATTCACTTACAATGATTTGTGCACGGGATTATAGCGTGGGTGGCAATGAATAGATGTACCACATCTACACCCTCTAGTGTCATACTGGTTTTGATAAAATATTTGGCTCAATTGATGGTCACCGTTACGGTTCGTTTTATGATTCCTGAAGCTATCGTCTAATCGTTTGTTGATGTTGTTTAGCAGACAACTTTCTATACCAATATCATAGAATGAATGGAATCTATAAATTACAACAGAAAAGCAATTCTTTATGGTTTGAAAAACATTGATCACTCAAGTATTAGGTTTTTATCTTCTTCTTGTTGTTCATTCCATCGTCGATAGTTTCATGCACTATTACCATTGTATCTTCACCGAAACAAATCATGGCAACTAGTATCATACTCACACCTGGACAAAGTTAAAGGATGCTACAAAGAAGAATAGAAAGTTTTGAGCTATGTTTATATTGACCAACACAGTAATCATATTTTTGAATACAAGCTCACAAGTTCATACTGATATTATTAAATCCAGTGATGAAGGATTTATTTGTTTAGCTTAATGGGTGATTGTAGCTTGATCAAACATGTAGCATTGAATCAATTCCAGGACATACAATAGATCTGCAAGCGTATGTAGAAAGTTTAGATGAGGCCGTCAGCTACAAATCGAGTGGAACAACAAATCTCAATACTACAGTGTTTCTTTTAAGCATGGCGATTTTCCAAAACCAAATACCAACGTACATATTCGTCCTCTCGTAAGTTATACCTATTTATTTCTATGAGCTGCTGTAGATAAAATTGTAGAAGAAGAAAAGCAATGTAATCAAATCTTTCAAGAAAATGTCCAATTTGTTCTACAATAGAATCGGGAAAAATCTCAAACATTTCCATTGGCTTTGAATGAATTTTTTGATTGGACACCACCAGAAGTAGAAAATTACAAAAAGAGTCTAGAAAAGCCAACAAATCAACAGCGATGCTATTTTGGGGAACTCACATATATTTTCGAAGAAAATGGTGAGTGTAAGTTTAAAAGCGAGATTTTTGCGGCTCCTCAGCCCCTCCCTATTACAGACCATAGAAAATAGTATTTGTCATTATTAAATATACGAGCTAACAATTAATACTCGATTACAGACATAAGCAAATAGGCAATGACCTAATTATAGGTTTTGGAAATCAGGGTAGATTTTTCAGATGAACTATTTTGAATTATTTTAGTAAGCCGAAGGGATATATGTGAATTCCATATTTTAGCCCCAAAGGGGCGGCGCTAACAAGCTTTTTCATGTGAAACTTTGTATAATAACATAGTACTTCTTTGCTTTCTATTCACTGACAAATGTATGAATGTGTATTTCAACGAAACATATTAATTTCAATTACACTGGAAAAAAACACCACACGGAACCGTTTTTGAAACGAACTTAAAACCCCAAGATAATCTCAAAACGATTATCAATAGTCCAGGAAACTTTTTCGAAGGCGCTGTGGAAAACCTACGAAACCTAAAAATGATTCAAAATTCGTTTCAGAGTTCGAAACCCTTTTTAGGTTCAGTGATAAAATTCGAAACCTTTTATGAGTATCGCACTGAGGACGAAAAATTTTTGGTTCCGTGTGGTGTTATTTTTTTTCCCGAGTATGATGTGTATTGTCCAATTTCTGGTACAATTGGACATTTATCCAAATTCCGGTGTCGAAATTCTAGTTGCCCAAGTTCCAGTTTCCCAAAACAAAATCCGCAGAATAATAAACGAAAAAAGCGTTTTTGATAGGATATTTAGCAAAAAAAGAGTTTATGAATGTGCAACGGGACACAAACCCTTTTCTTCCGTATATGACGAAGATAATAAACGGTTTTTCGGTTTATGATCTGGAAAAATGGTTTATCATGTATTACAAGGGTGGGTGTGGGTGGATGTACAGCAGAACAATAACAACTCACAACCAGCTCCTCGCACCCACACCCCACACCCCACACCCAGATCCTCTGATCCATACACTGTAAAAAAAATTCGTAGAATAATAAATCCAAAAAGAGTTGATGAAAGTGCAACGTATAATGAACCCTTTTTACCGTATTTAAAACTATCCTAAACCCTTTCATAAACCATTTTTTCCGTATGTGAAATTGCCATAAATCCTTTAATAAACCCTTTTAAATAAGTTTTCTAGTGAGACAAACATCTAAAGGTTATTTAAAAAAAAGTGTTTTAGATGTTACACAATCATTATTTTTCTATTATTCCAATTCAGTTTGCGTTTCAGATCGTGTATATATACTTTCATAGATTTATAATTAATTAAGTGATGTACTTACTGTTGTCACCTGGATTCGAACATATGACATAATCCATGATTGCCTAACTTGTTATTCATTCGATCAGATTCGCGCTCAAGTTGCATAGTATGAAATGTACTCTTAAATTAAACAATGTTCTTCTGAATAGGCGATTCCTATTTTGATGAAGAAATCGAAATAATAGATTTCTATACGCCTTATTTATTTGAAATTGAATGATATTCTTAAAATATTATTAAAGTAGATCACTTAAATTTTATAGTTCATATTACAGATATATCGATATTTAAAAGTATATTATATATCTAATAAATTATTTAGTTGATAGGAATTCCTTGAAATAAGTTTCAATAATTTTTAGAATTTTTTCTGAGTTTTTTTTCTTTAGGGACTGAAAAATAACGCTTAGAAATGTCTAAATTTAAAAAAAAACATTGTGAAAGATTTAGTATTCTGATTCCTTTTAGAACTCCTCAATTTTCGAAAACTTTATATTGATTGATAGTATTCTTCTCGATTGAAATATGTTTGTTTTTGGAAATAACCACCGTAGCAAAAGATTTCAAGTGATAGTGAGAGAGCGCTTTGTTGAAAAGTTACAATAATTAACTCTTGATCGTAAGAGTAGAGCAATAAACCCTTAGTTACGCAAGGCAAAACGTTTTTTGTGATGGGTATATTGATGAACCTTTCTTTTTCTCCGCATAAACCCTTTTTTCATTTAAAATACCCTTTTTCTCAAAAACCCTTAAAGGGTTTAGGAAAATTTTCCGAAAATACTAGGGTTTCTTAATCTACGAATTGTTTTTTACAGTGTATTTCATTGAACATCAGTCTTCCTCAATTACTCTACAGTAATTCTCTTAGCATTATTTTAAAGATTAGTCTCTTTTATCAGCGTCCTGTTTCGTATATTGTACATTGTATTTTACTTACGTCTATGAACAGATCGTCGTTTGATACAAAACAATAAAATAATGAATGTAACACAGACATTCGGTTAATTATATGTATATATATATACTTGCATCAATTCTTTTTTCTTTTCTCGTCAACCAGTCTTGAAAAGAGCGAGGAATCGAATGCAATGAATTCACTCTCTTTCTTCTATTTATACATTTTCTTTCCCTTCTGTTTTTGCCGTCAACTTTTTCGTTCATCGAAGAACAGAATGGAATGGATTTTCTTGCTTGATCATGCGTATCGATAGACATCAACAAAATAAAGATCAGTGTTTAAAAATGTGATCAAAATAACAATGAGAAAAAATTTTCATGCATTTTATATTTCGAATAAGTCCGTGTTATAAATCTTCATTTTTCAAGAAGTCAAGCAATACATCGTTTCCCATTTACTTTTTCCTCTCCAAAAAGAAGCTCTTTGAACATGATATCACTAGTCGCAGTCGCAAGTTTAAAATCTTAAATGGAACCATACTCATGTCATTCGTCTCAGGATGGTCTTCCAATATGATTTTCCTAGTAAAAGCGTCTTTTTTTTAAATTAGTTAATTAGGTACTAATTTTGTTTTGTAGCTCAGCAACTTAAAATTGAACTATGACTAATTTAATTTAGATTTTTCGACCTATTGATAGCTGTGAACAGCCCTCTGTGACTGGTTTATAAACTGATATTTTCTTTTTCATTTCATGTTAATTCATATATTTATTTTTCTTTCTTTAATCAAAAACATTCTTCATACAAAATAAAAAACATTAACGTTCGCACATTAGACCCTTTGCTTAATTATAGTTCACCGAAAGTCAGTCAACTTCAATTGCTTTTTAGCTATTTTGCTAGAAATACTAAAATCTATCTCATTTTCTTCGATTGAACAAGTCAAGTTACAATCACTCGGATCGTACATATATCCAGGAAGAGTATGAAGCTTTATTGGTGTAACATGATCGGCCCATGTATACCCAATTTCACGAAAACTTTTACTAAAATCAATAGAAGAAAGTGTTCTTTTCCATGCAATCAAAGTAAGTCGTGTACATAAAACTCTTGATTTTGATGCAGTGAGCTTGACATTCAAGCGACCACATGCTTTCTCAATATACTCTTCTGAGCAATCATAGTAATGTTTTTTAAATATTGAAAACACATAAACATCGAGTGCTTGAATATACATAGTACACCCCTTCGGTATTATGGCAACAACAATTTGTTTCTTTCGTAATAATCGAATTGACTGGTGATCAAAATGTGTATTTGAACTGTCAGAAATAAATAATTTCGGATTCTTGTCATTGACCTTTGGCATCCAATATTCCATGTATCTGGAAAAAAAAAGAATTAATATATTTTTCATCACATCCTTAATTTCAGTTGATATCTTTTTATTCGCTCTTTAACTTACTTATCCATTGTAATACGATTGTTAACAGCCTTCGGAGTAAAATACACTTTAACACCATTAGCATATTGCAGTTTCTCAATACTCGACGCCTGCTCTTTTCCTTTAGAAATTAATACCGGACCAACTCGTGTATTATCTGAACCAAAAATTGTTAATATAACAGTAGCGAACCGTTTATTACTAATATAACCTTCAATATCATTGGATGTATTGGCATCATTTATCGATCATCTCGATTGATCTCCAAATAAACTTAATGGACTTTCGTCAATGTTGCATACATCTCGTGGAAGGGATGCTCCCATAGGTCCACGGCTTGGTGCCCATTGACTTGCTCGACGAATATAATCATAGAAATTGTTTATAAGTGGATATGTATCGGACAATGAAACTTTTTGATTTCTTTTCGGGTTTTGAAGTGATAAACGATGACAGCGCATGAATCTCCCAAACCATTTCGTACTTTGACAAGGATGTTTTAATTCCACACTTAATAATTTACCTTGCCGTTATAATTGACGAAATGTTACCTTCTCACGTCTTATTGTTGCTGTTGTTGTTGTACCAGTTGTAGCAACAGCTTTTGGATCAATAAATGTTTGTTTCTCTGGAAATCATAATAACAATCGACGATCAAGGTCAACGAACTTAATTTTTACACCACCACCACTGAAATGTTTGCGTTTTTTACCTAAAATGTATAATTACTTTTTAAAATAGACAGTAAAATATTCAGCAAGTATCTGTATTTTTTCCCTTGTTCTGAATAAGATAATATAAATTTCACCTAGATTGAAAGATTAGCTGATCAAAAAATATCAGTTATTCTTGTCATGCTTGAGCTTGGACAGTGTTTCAAGTTCCATTTTTCCTTTAATCCATTGTGACAATTGATATCGTGAACAACCATGTTGATGAGCAGTAAGCTGTTTATTACCAAGATTTTATTTTCAAAGCTATTCAAAGTCGATAATTTTTCTTTAATAGACCATTGTTTCCGTTTTCGTTTCGTGCTGCCTTGATTACCGGTAGCTTTTGCTAATGGTTTTTGTAATTGAATGACACTACTGACTGAAGTTATAGGTGTT